GGGGACGGCCGCGGGGCTCCGCAGCGGCGATGGGCAGCGGCGGGGCCGCCTCTCGGCTCGCCGCGCGGTGCCGGCGCCCGGCCCGGGGAGCGCCGTGAGGAGCGGCTGCAGGTGAGCGCCGCGCCCCGCGCCTTCCCCGCCCGCTCCCCGCCGCCCCGTGTGCGCTCCTTGCCGGCGGCGTTTTAATTTTTAAATCCAACGGCTGTCGGCGAACGGCTGCGGGGGGCGCGGGGCTGACAGCGGCCGGCAGGGCGCGGCGGGGAAGAGGGGCTCCGACGGGCCGCAGGTGAACGCCGCCGCCAGGTGCAGCGCTCCGCGCCGCCGCGCCTCCCGGCCGCCGCCTCCCTCGGCCGGGACGGAGGGCCACCCGCGGACTGCGGAGTGGCCGGGGCCGCCCTCATCGTTCCCCAAGCCGGGCGGTTGAGCTTAGCGGGCTCCCCTCCTGCCCGCGCCTTCCGCCTTGAGGGTGCGACGATGGGGCACGACCGCTACACCTTTTGTCATCGGCGCGGAGACAAAGAAGGCGGCTCCCCGCGTCCCGCCTCGCTTCCCGGGGTGCCGCCGGGCCCCTCCGCTCGCTGCTGCCGGCGGTGGCGGTGCCGCTAAAAGGACGCGTTGATACGCCTCCGAACGGGCTCGCGGTTTGCGTTCCTGAAATTGCTGCAGCAGTATAAATATATGCATTTATTCGGGGTGACGGGATGGGGTCCGTCAATGCAAACGTGGTGTGGTTTGTGGTCCTCGTGCGGAGGGTTCCGTGCCGGGAGCGATGGCAGCGCTGCCTTGTAACCTGCCTGCTAACCTGCCTCCTCCCCGGCCTTTTTGTCTCCCGGTCCTGCAGTCTCCACGCCATCCGCTGTGTGAGGAATGACGATGGCTCCGTGAGAGAACTTCCTCGCATCTTTCTCTTGCTCTGCAGCCCCCATTGCATGCTGCTCCTGGACAGTGATGAGCCGTTCAGCTGTGCTGGGATTTTCTACCGTGAAGAAAGGAGAGGTGGAATATGAGTTGTAGACATCCTCTCGAGCTTCTTGTGCGTTGTTTTTCCCGCATCTATATATAAACCTGCTAGCATTGAACACGCACGCTCCTACGCCTACTTTGGTGTTCCTGCGACTGTGCCACAGGACTGGTGTTTCTCGCCGTCATGGCTTCAGTTTGGAAAAGACTGCAGCGTGTTGGGAAACATGCATCCAAGTTCCAGTTTGTGGCCTCTTACCAGGAGTTGATGGTGGAGTGCACCAAAAAATGGTAAGAAGTGGCTCGCGCTGCTGCCCAAATGAGGAGTGAGTCGTTGATGCTGAAATTGAAGGATGTTGCCCGTTGCATGTTGCTCGCAGTGTGTGATCTCTCTGGGGACCAGCATTTTGGACCTGTTGGTTTTGTTCTGTGTTGTGATTTTCTTTGCTGGTGTTATAGTGTGGGACAGTGCACTTACGAGCTCGGCACCTGTAGCTTAGTGGGGTTTTTTTGCTGTTCAACTATTTATATTGTAGATATTTTCCAAGAGTCCTTTTCTGACCTGCAGCTTGCTCTTAGGGCTGAACGTCCCCTGCTGATGCTGCCCTTAGCTGACTGAGTCATTTGGGATCAGCCCTCAGCATGGTGGTGTTGTCGTCCGGTTTTGATTTTGACTCCTTTACTCGAGAATGTCTCATCTCTCCTCCTTCCTTTCCATCTTCTGAAGGAAAGAGATGAGAGATGGATCCTTGGGAATTGTCTGAAGGTGTTTGTTTAGTTGGACAGGAATTTCATGCAGCAGCGGGCCAGTTGGATGACTTTGGAGCTGACTAGACAGCAGTTATATTAATTGTGGGGTCTGGCACAAGCATGTCTTGCTTCCTGTGCAAAATGAACTTAAGTGCATCTGATGGGGAAGACTGGAAACAGCTTTTATAGTCTGCCAGCAAATATCTCCGTTATACAAATACATGAATGCTTTTATACCTTTGGCATATGGATGTTGTAATTCCTCGCATCGGTGTGAGCTGTAGTACCAGGGCATGGAGAAAGTACTTTGCTGTCCTTCTGGACAGAGGTGTTCAAACTGCCCTGAAACAATTAGCAGCCTCCTCCTAATACTTGCTTTATCCTGTTGGCAAGGCTGGCCCTTGCATTGGCTGCCTTTGCTGGTTGTGAGTAATTGCCTCTACAAATTCAAATTCTATTTCTCGGTGTTGGAAATGTCTGTCAAATGTGCTGGAAGGCTGCTTGCTGCTCTGCCTTAAAGAAACACCGCTGGCTTAGTTGTTTGTTTACTTCTAACAAACTACCTGCTAGCCTGAAGTGTCTCCATAGATGATCAAGAAACAGAATTATTTTGGAATTTGAACTTTCTTTCACTGAACAAACTTATGAATAAAAATATTGTCAAGGTTGAAAGAGGCTGTCATGGTCATCTCAGGTGACCAACCATCCAGTTCAGGCCCAGGAGTTCTCCATGGTAATTGTATCAGGTTTATTTCAGTACTTGTGCATGTGATGTTTTATGGCTTTTCACCTTCTATTTATTCTTCACACCAACTCACCTCTTTTTGCTCTCATTTTCACTTTTACTCTTTTCTTGCGAGTGTGCAGAACGCTTCAATACTGAAGTATGAATGTTCAGATTGAATCTGCAACCTCATTGCATTCAAGAAAAAGTCACACGCACAAGTTTGGCTGCAGTCTCGTTAATTTAGAAACAATTAACTTCTTAGTCCTTCATAGAGTGACCACCTAGCAATACCCAGCACGTTGAGTAGTGATACTGCCTTTCATAACCTCAGACATGCAGCTGGCGTATATTTTAGAAGTTGTCCATCTGAGTCTTTGCTTTGTGTTCTTTGATGATAACATGCAGGGCTGGTGCTTGCATTGGTTGTGAGGAAAGAGGCATGGTGGTGAAATGTGGATGAATTCTAGGAAAAAAAAACAATGGGGAAAAACATCATTCACACAATCATTTGATTATGAGCTTTCTGTTCTGTTTCCTCTTGTTTGGAGAGCCTTAACAAAAACGTTCCTTAAACATGTGAGTTCCAAGGGAGAAATGAACTCCATATGCTCTTTTCACTGAAAGCACTCCTAACATGTATGAAGCATCAGAGTTATCGTCTGTGTTTGTAGCTCCACGCTGTAAGTGTATTTGGATCAAAATGTGGTAAGCACTGAGTTATTTTAATGTACTGGCATTTGGACAATGCAGTGTTTCTGCAGGAAAAGAATGCTCCATTGATGCTTTAAAAGAAATGACAATGCAGTCATAAACACAGTTGAACTGAGATGCGTTTGTGCATGAGGTTGTGCACGGCTGGGCCTGGTCTGCTTTGAGCTGCGTGCTCTGAGCTGCTCTCTGCTGTTGGGGTTCTGTTGGTCTGACTTTGGGAAGCAACTCGTACATTCGAAGCTGCCCGTGCACAGTTAGCAGCCTCAGGTGGGTTCCTGGGAAGCTGTCGTGCTTTTTGGCTCCTCTGAACTTGTGTTGACTCGGAATGTTTTTGCTTAGGGTTCAGAGCAGCTCAGAAACCTGTGCTGGAAGGTCACTGCCACTCTCTTGTTGCTGCTCCAGTCTTCAAAAGCATCACCTCCAGGAACAGCAGCATTTCTCCTGCATAGGCTGACAATCCCTGCTGTCTCTCGTTTCTTACTCTTGTTGGCAGCTTCTCTCAGGTGACTGCTTTCCACTGGTATGTCTGGGGGGGACAGATTGTGACGGGCTGCCCGGTGTTGTCGCTGTTTCATTAGAAAAGCTTCATTTTCAGGTAATTAGCAGGACCTAGTTGCTTCCATGGCATTCTGGCTGCTCTCTCTGACCCAGCCCTAATTATTGTAGCAGCTCAGTACCTTTGAAAAATCGAGCAGTTAGTTCATATAAAGCCTTGTGCTTCATATAAATAAATAAATGCAGCCTGGGTCTTTAGTATGGATTAGTGAGCCCTGCTCCTGTGAAAACGTAATGCTTTGCATTAATCATATAAGCACTTGGTTTTTTGAAAGGCTCTTGCTTGGTGGTGCTGGAGTGTGTCATCCTCTGCTGACTCTTGGGATAAGCTGGGGCAGCGTGGGATTTTGCAGCCAGCATGGCAGTCCTGGCTTGGAGGAGCAGAGCATGGAAGCAAAGCGTTCAGGGCTGGGTCAGCCTTGTATGGCTGAACTCATGGACTCTTTGGGGGTGGGGTGGCTTTTGTGTTTCCTTATTTCTCTGTATGGGTATCTTGCAAGTCACGGATTCAGCAGGATCTTCCAGGTGTAGTGTGGCCTCATTTCTGAGTTCTTCATATGTGCTTGTCAGCGTGTGTTTTTGTGGGTAGGAAAACCACTTCCCTGGATGCAGGTGCTGCTTGAAGCCAGTGGAAATGTGTATAGATACGATGCTCCCTTGCAGGATGTGTGAAACGCCTGCCATCTACATGAATCGCTTTGCTTTAAATCATGCTTTGAAATACATGGAGCTGTGGTGCTCAGAGGGTTAAAACTCACGTAGATGCTGCTTTAACTGAAGGCAGGCTGCACGTTCACAAAGTAAGTCACCTATTTTTGTATCAAATCGGTACGCTCTGAAGTAGGTTCGATATTTTCAAATACATATCTTTCTCTTTTGCGAATGAAGTAATGCTTCATTTTTTTTCCTAAAGACTTTGGCCATCTGTTTCTCTCTTCTATTGTAGTTTCATAACTGGATGCTGCAGGAATTTCAACATTTGGCGTGCGCTGCGCTTGGGAGGGAGAGGAGCTTTTTGAGATTCCTCGGTTCACACCAGCTTGCCTGCCTTCTGCTCCCTGCTTTCCTGCTGCGGGCGCCGGGAGCTCCGCGCTTAGCAGCCAATGCAGGCTGCCTGCTCGGGGTCATTGCCTCGCTTTGCGTAGCTGCTAAGTTTTGTGAGCACCTAAGTGCTGTTAATTAAGGGCAATCACATGGAAACGTGCGGCACAAAGAGAGATGTTGCAGAGGAGTTCAGGAGCTTGGAATTGTGTTTCCTGAGACCCGTGTTTCTGCCGTGGCCTTGCTGTTGTGAGCTCTTGATGGGATTGGCACTGGCCGTGTGAGTGTACCTGACAATACAGTGTGCACAGAAAGCATCAGACACTTCCTCCTGGTTTTTTAATCCCTTCCTCCTGGTTTTTATAGCTTTTCTCCTCAATTAAAATGCACTCAGTCCTCACGCTCTTGATTTAGATCTCTAATCCCATGCTAAATAATCCCCATCTGCAAATAGGTTTTATTGTTTTCTTAATTTGTATCCAATTTTCTCCTGAGGACTTTCTGAGGGGTTAAATTGTATATCAAGCTTATTCTTTCCAAGTGATTCTTTTCCAAATTCTTACCACCAGCTGTGTTGGAGGTCAGTCCCTTTCTTCCTGCAGACAATTGGAGCACACGTACTTTCCATATGCAAATGTAGTTCTCTGCCAGCTCGCATCTCTCTCAACACCCAGAAGAAAATCTTTCATTTCAGAAATGTAGATTTCCTTTGAAGTGTCTGCCTCACTCCTACCTTACCAAGCTGGCCAGCAAACCCCTTTTGTATCCTTATGTCAGTGCCATGGACTACAAATTAGGGATTTCTCATCTAAATTGTGGGTTGTATTTTGTGCAGTGAAGACATGTTTAATAGGAAGGGTATGAGTATATGTAAATCCTTTACTGCTGTATTTCTCATGTTGTTAATGCTGCATATTTACACCCATTTCCTATTTGCAGCAGCCCTTTGGCAGGGTTGGGAGCCCTGTGTGCAGTTCCTAATAGGCTACATTGGGAGAACCAGACATGAAGTTTTTTCTTAATGTGGAAGGACCAACTTTATCATAAATACGTCTTCAGACTGTTATTTGCTTTTGAGAGACCGAATTCTTTCCAGCAGTTCCATGACTTAGTTTACCATCCTAGTAATAACAAAAATAACTGTCTAAAGCAAAAGAGATTAGGTTATAGCCAAGAATGGACAAATCCATCTTAATGGCCTGCCATTCATTCACTTAAAGGGATGAGGATGTCTCCATGAAGAAATAAAATACCCTGCCTTGGAGTTCTAACAAGCTTTATTTTTGAGAAGAGGCTGTGTGTGTGTGTGTGCACTTAGTTAACTTCTTTGCAGAGCTGTACAAACAAACAAAAGCTGGCTGTGTTCCTGCAGCATTGTTGCACGCACGCAGTAAGGTATGTGCACTGGTTCTTAGAACCCAGTGGACTGGAGCTAGAATAAAGATTTGATTTATTTTTTCAGGATTGGATTGCTGTGAATACCCTTTTGAGCTCTTTCAGTATTACG